GTCACCTTGGCATACGTTCAAACCGACATGAAAGATAAGTCTAATTAAATAAGAGAATTCTAATATTCGGTCAAAAAAACCGAATCTCAATACCTAAATATTTGTGTGAATTTATATACCTACGTATATGATTCTGTATACTGCGCGCCGAAATCTTTTTCGATTTTTTCGTAATGCAATCATGAAAAAAATCAGAGTAATAATATCATTTTATTAAATTAATGAACAATTTAATAATTTTTTATGCTAATAGGCATCTCTGTAAAAATATTAACAATCGAATGTTAATGAGAATCTTAAATCTGCGAATAATTTTAAAAGGTAAGTGTATCATCTCTAATAAAATCTAAAATAATTTACGCTGAAAATATCAATTTTAATAAGTACCTTTTGCGTTACTTTAGATTTTTTTCTAATTTTGAAAAGAAAGATAGAAGGATGTTAATAAATCGTTAAATGGAAATAATTGCATGTAAAAATTCCATCGTAACTTTTTTTACTCTCTCTCTCTCTCTCTCTCTCTCTCTCTCTCTCTGCCCCTTTCTTTCGAAAAAATACTTTATATAATTTTTAGTTATAACGATAATATTTCGCTTTAATAAACAATCACTTATTATACATATATATATCTCACCTACATTATCTTGAATTAAAATAAGATCAAAAAGTATGAGCATTAACTGTTTAAAAGAAAAATTTATTTATTTGTATATTTTTTGATTAAATTTACAAACTTGTGACATATTTATCAAAAAGATACATGTCTTAAAAAAACCACTACATTACATATTTGTGTATAATGCATTAATCGCCATTCAAAGATCAAACGAGATAATAATCCCTATTTCGTCTTGAATGTGTAAAGTTTTGTGTAAAAACGGAAAAGTTGTCTGTCTCATAACATAAAAATTCGTTTAAACATATCTTGTGGTATTTATCGCATATACGTATACACGTATTTACGTATTTATGTCGCATGTATTATCCATTATAATTATCGAGTACAAAAATTTCTATTATAATTTAACTCGATCAAGAAAGAAATTACACTGTATATCGCGTGATATCCTCAAATAGAAAGCATTGATTAATCGACAATTATATTTAAAAACTAAACTAAATGTTATATAAGAGTTAAAATATGAATATTAAATGCATTGAAATTATATATATTAAGAATTCCTTTTTACTCTTGTGTAAAAGAAAAATGTTTGCATTAATTAATATTGCGCAATATAATATTTATAAAAGACATATGAGAGAGCGAATCTTTAATTGATTCGTCATCTCTGAAAAAGGACTTGACACACATCTCTAATTATTATTTGTTTGTATTATCTTCTTGCTTTGATAAAACAATTATCAGGCGTCATATAAATTTAAATCGCGAATAAGCAATACGAGTTAAATGAATTTAATAAAATTTAGAAGATAGAAACGTACTATCCTCTGACGCCGGTTTTGCGCGTGTATTTTATTCAATTATTAATTGCCCGATATTTATAATTACTTATCTTCTCTATCCATAACTCTCGTATAGCTTAAGAAAAATTTGTAGCCACGTTAGCAAATTTGTGTAAATCCAAAAAATTTCACAATCCATTTCATCTTTACTCAACTGTAACTGATTTCGCCAAGTTTCTCGGACAATCAACGTTACAACCACGCAAAACCGCTATGTGGAAAGACAATAACTGCATGGGAATGACGGTGAGAATTCCTTGCAGGCAATCGACGGTTTTAGGTATCTCGAGAGCTCTATCGGCAAAAGCCTTCGTTTCCTCATCCCCTTCCTCGCAGATAACAATGGGCTTACTGTCCCGCGCGGTAACTTGCTGAAGTGCATTCATGCATTTCTATAAAATAAATTATTGAATTGTGAGACATATGCCACGTTTCTATATTTCTTTGATTTCTTCGCCTATAATATATTATTGAGAGCAGCCGGATATTAAAAACTTGCTCAATTAAACTTACCACGTACACTGGGTCTCTCATTACAATCATAATTACCGGCATGGAATCGTCAACGAGAGCTAACGGACCATGCTTCAATTCACCGGCCATAATTCCTTCGCTGTGCATGTATGTCAACTCTTTTACTTTCTGCAAATATGTATGAATTAGTCATAATAATGTTAATTGCAAAGAAATTTATTATAACTTCTTATCGCCTACTTACGAGTGCACCTTCCATGCACGTAGCGAAATTGTATCCGCGGCCCATGATCAATAGAGACTTGTGTTGAAACAAAGATTTGGCTAGCTCCTTGACTTTATCATCGAGCTTCAATACTTCGCGAATAAGATTATCGAGATTTTTTAATCCTTCGATAATCTGCGTAACAAAAATATACGTAAGATTTAATTACATTTTATTAAAGATAAAAAGTACAATACCCTAGATGTGAATGTACCTGTAAACGTCTCGCGCGAAGAGAAATTCTGTCCTCGCTCATTACCAGTGCAAACATTACAAGCGAGATAAATTGCGAGGTGTAAGCCTTAGTACTTGCTACACCGATCTCAGGACCAGCGTTGATATGCACTCCACAATGAGATTCACGACAGATACTACTACCAACTGTATTAGTTATACCCACGATAAGAGCTCCGCGGCTTTTACAATAACGTAGTGCCATTAATGTGTCAGCTGTCTCGCCTATCATTATAAGAATAACAATAACTCAATTTTGTGTTTGTGTACGTACAATTCAGTAATTTTTTTTCACGATATTATTTGTCAAACTTAAATTTTCTTATTTATTTGTTTTTCATATTTACATTATATTTCTGCCTTACCTGATTGAGAAATAAAGAAGCAGACGTCGTCTCTAAAGACTGGGGTATTACGATCCAAAAAGTCGGATGCAAGCTCAACCATCACTGGCAATTCTGTCAGTTCCTCAAGAAGCTGACGCGTAGCTATGGCAGAATGATAGCTCGTACCGCAACCGATTAGCATAAGACGTCTGCATCTTTTGATCTCAGGAATGTAATCCTGTGCGAAAAAAAAGTATTCTTTTTAATATCAAACTCTTTTCCTCCGAAACACTTACGAAAAATCGTTAATAAGACGATACTTTAATTCCGCCTAAGGTGACTGAGTTGTCCTGAAAATTCAAACGTCCTCTCATAGTATTCACCACCGACTCTGGTTGCTCGAAAATTTCCTTCTGCATGAAGTAGTCGTAATTGCCCTTCATGATTTGCTGAATTTCCATTTTCAGTGTCGTAATCTCACGAGCATGAGGATCATCCATGCAACGACGAAGACGATGAATACTCAGCGCGCCTTCTTTAACAGCCGCCACATCGTCATCCTATCGACATGACGCATAAGATAACTCTTTGTGCTAAATAATCTTGCCTAAAATTCGGTATAACGTGTCAAATCGCACCTCTAAAAATATCACGCGATTTGTATGCTCGATTATGGCGCTCGCATCGGAAGCGAAGAAATATTCGACCTCTTTATCCTCAAGAGGTTGAAACTCGGATGTGCTCTCACTACGCGGTATGACCGGGAGTTCTGGATTTCTGCCATGCGGACGATGATCTGCGCAAAAATTGAGTCTTTGTTTTATTTTACGAAGATATTTAAAAAATTTATTTTAATAATAAAATACTTATTTTGCAACTTTTGATTTTTACAGTGCATTATTGAAGAGAATATTATACAACGGGATAAGATTCTGCTGCACAGAAATCTCCATTTTATTCAAAAATTTCTTAGAGTATAACAAATATGAGTAAAACAAATATATTAATAAAGGCTGATAAAAAATCATTCGTATGCAATACAAAACTAGGGATGTTATCAGGATATAATATTTTTCTATACATTATACATAAAATTTTATGTTACATTTCTTATTGCGAGTAGTAATTGTTCATTTTGCACCAGTGTTAGTGATAAAAAAAATCAAAGTTGATATCTAAAATATTTAAGATAAATTTAATTAAAAACGGTTAATTAGTCATTTTCTCTCAGTTATTGTTATAGTTGCGCTAGATTTATGTTACAACTTTTATTTTCTCATTGCACATCGAATTGTGATGTCAGAAACGAAAAACAATGTGACTTTTCTTTTTTTGCATTCTATCAGAATAAATTTTTCGTATACCCCATTATGACAAATAACAAAATGTCACTTTCTTTTTTGATTTATAAATTAACAGTTATAAGTTATGAGTTTATGAATTATTAGCTCTAAATCTGATCAACTGCTATAAGAACTTCGCTAAAAGTGTATGAACTGTACACATTGAATTATATATATATATATATATACATATTTACTAATACGAGGAGAACAAAAAAGTTTTTGGTGATAAAAAAAATTTAATTTATTTCGACATATAAAACAAACAAAGATTTCCTAACGATTCTCGTTT